AACAAGGCAAGATAAGGGATTTATTGGAATGTTGGCATGCATTCTAGTCAGGCTTTCGTTGTCTGCGCGCTGTTACAGTTACATACCGATTCAATTGGAATTTGCATAATTTTTTKGCTTTTTTAAGTTTTTGGCCAACGTTTATTTCTGAGTGCTTTTGTGTGCTTTATTCTGCTCACATGGAATTAAACTGTTTTCAAAGTTTCGTTAGTATTCTCCAGTTAACGATTTGTATACGTTATAGAAAAATCATATGGACATTAGGCGAGCATCAAGAGCCGTTTCCTCAATGTCTGGTTTGCAGCCAGCTGTCAGCTATGTAACCAAGACTCCTTCCTTCGGTAAAAAAAACCCATTTTTAACCAGAACTTAACTGACAGATGGATGCTAATCAGATTTTGAATGGCTGCTAATCAGACTTCGAGAAAACTGACTTATCCTAAAAAAAAACATTAATAAACGCATTACCTTTTAGCTATAGTCGGTATTGTTTTTTGTATATATTTTAATTGTTGTTTCTTAAAATTTCATAATATGTTTAGAACTCTAGATGACACTTTATGGTTGTCCTCCAATTTTCAAGATTTGTTTCGGATTGTAGTAGCAGCCAAAAATCTACTATATCTGTATCGGTTAACAACACATTTAAAATAACCTAAACATTATCGAATAGGAATAGCTGTAAACCTTTGGTCTTYTTGCTCTTCTCTATCTAAAGCAAGGTCTTTCATCCTTTTCATTCGAAAAATTGACCAATTCAATCGAGGTTACATCTCCGAAAGTACAGCTCTTRGCTTAATATCGATCAATTCCGGTAATCACAGCCGGTTCTGTGGTGAGCATTGAATTCAATTGAACTGGCTATGGTGGTTTCGTTCTGAATACTATAGCAAGTTAAGCTCCTACTTATCCAGAATCGACTCAGATATATCAAACATATGCCCAGCATGCAACRAGTCTTACCATCTGAAACCCTCTTCCTATGGTCCGACTCCGTCGAAACAGCACGTTTCCTTGGMCTACCTTTGGTTACATACCGAATCATTCCAAGTCTTTACCATCCTAACGGGAATTAGGTACCCGTTATAACAACAACATCCMTTATATTCGAAAATTTTTCATTCAAAATGCAATATTTTTTCATTCACACTGTAACGATAAGGTCCTCCGCGTTATTTTTTCAATTTTTTATTGCTATATAGAAAAATTTATATCTCGCTTCTAAAAACAAAACATATTATATTCCGTTTTTTAATCCACCCTAGCATTTCAGCTATATAGTATATACATATATGATAATCTCCATTTTGGTTCAATGGATTGTAGGGCCATTGGTTTGCTTAACCCCACTTCAACGAAAGAAATATGTGCACAAACACACACACACACACACACACACACACACACACATGCGTATCAGAGGCTGCCTCAGGCAAATTGGCTCATTGACCATTTGCGATTTTTGAATATATTGTAATATGGCAGGTTGTTGCTTTTTCCTATGTTAATGAATTGAACATCGCTCGTCGACTCTCGCATGTGTGCGCTTATTTATTATTGTTGTTGTAAAGCGTTCATTATTGTTATTGTTAAAGTTGTTGTGATAGTGTCCCCAAGTGTTGCTTTAACTCTACTAAAAATACAAAACACCACTACAGAGTGATATGTGTACGATATATGTACATACAAACATAGGTAGAACAAAAAAAAAAAAAAGAGAAAGAAAGAAAAGGCTAAAACGCATTAACTTTTAGCTATTATCGGCATTTATTTTTTGTATCTGTTTAATTTTATTTTATTCGCTTTTGTTTTTGTTGTTGTTGATTTTGTGTAATTTCGTCCGCTGCCTACTGTCTTGGGCGCGTTCTTGGGTGTGTGCGCCATGGCAAATAAACGCAGTCGAAAGCAGAAATTCCGAATTTACAATAAATATACGGTTTTTTTTGTTTTTTTTTTTTTGATTTCCAAAGAATTCATTGACCTTTCTCTTTTTCTATGGCGCTCTCACGCACACAGCGTTTGTACATATGTATGTATGTATGTTTTTGGGTGTTTTTGTAAGCCAAGTTAACCCATAACAAGAAGGCAAGCAATCGATCGCTGACGATAGGTATCGAAAAGGSAGACGGTTCGGCGGGTGCGCTGGCTTAAGCAACGACTAAACAAGCGCCCAAAAAGTGTCCGCACGCTAGAGCGTCCTTTATACAAAGACTACATTAACAACATGGAAGCGTAACGCAATCAGAATCCAAGTCAGCTGTGCGGCGAAGAGTGTAACGCACGAACAAGTGGCTGGGCTTCACTTCAGGCCGAAATCGCCGTCTCAGCGGCTTAAAGGAATAATAGACTCTTAGCACCGTTCTTGCTCGCGATTTTTGTTTCTTTTTTTTTACGTTTTTTATATTGTGCTTACGGTTGCCAATATTTTTTTTATTTTTTTATAGCTGCGCCTTTGTGTTGTTGTTTTGATAGGCGTTGTTTTTCAGCAAATAGGTTGTTGCTTCCTATCAAAATTTTTGCTTTTATTTTGTCTTCATTAATTGCATTAATTTGTTTATATAATTAATTGATTTTTGTTCACCCAAAAAGCATTGACCACTGAACTCACTTGGCTATATTTTTATTGTGGGCCAAAAATAGTGAGACTGTTTAATTTTAATTTCGCGCGAAAACCCATTCTTATAAAAATTCGAACTCTCGCTTAGCCCGATTTATTATGAGCTGAAGAAGGAGGAACGGGGTGTGGCATAGCATAAAAAGTGCACGAATGAAAGCAGAACGGATAGATTTGAGGTTCAGTTGAAATTGTTTTTCTAACATATCTAGTAGTGCAATTTCGAGACGGCATCTTACAAGAGAATAAACTCTCACACAGTTTTTGGTAACGACAGACTGGCCAGAAATATAAAGTGAAGTTGAAATCCGGATGATCGCTTTCGAACACCTTTTTCTGTACACATGTATATGTCCCGTGAGACTCGCATAGTAATAATTTTACGTACAATAGAATTATTATAAAAATAATCACTGCTTAATTTCGAGTCTCCACTAAAAAAATAAAACACAGCTTCAAATTTAACTATTACCATTCAAGAGAAAATTTTTTATCATATAATTTTTGAARATTATCTCTTTCAAATATTGGCCGCGGCTACGTCTCAGATGGCCCATCCGTTGAGTCCAATTTCAGATCACTCGTTCGAGCATTTCGACTCACAGCTGGCGAATGACACGCGTGATGTTTTGCTTCTTGGCCTAAATCGAAGCGGGATTGTCTGCATAGACTTTACATATCCCTACAGAAATAAGTCTAACGGTGTGATATCACACGATCTTCGTAGGTAATCGATCAAAACGTGAAATTATCTGCTTTTCAAAATTTCTCTAAATAAACCCATTGATTGTTGTAATGTGTGATAAATGGCATCGTGATGTTTTGGAAGAAATATGAACCGATGATTCCACCGCCCAACAAACCATAGCAAGCCATTATTTTTTTGGATGAAATGACAGCTTTCAAATCTCTTCAGGTTGCTCTTCGTGGCAATTTTGTAACTAAATTTCAAGTCAGACTTGAAACTTTTTTCTGGATTCCCACCTTTTGGGCTTTGACTCACATCGGTTAGTTTATATGGAAGCTATATGATATAGTTATTTGATATCGGTCATTTGACATATGAGCAGCTACTTGACGAACAAAGTACGGGTGCAAAATTTCAGATCGACATCTCAAAAACTGAGGTGCCAGTTCGCATAAATACAGACAGACGAACGGACAGGCAGAAGAAATAACATAGCTAAATCGACTCATTTAATATATACTATATAGGGTTACTGACTTTTAACTTGACGGAATAAACTTCTCACTGTCCATGCAATGACTTATGGTCGAAAAAAAAAATGTTTTAAACAAAGTTGAATTTTACCCCATTTTAGTGATAATTCTAAAAGCTGCTAACTATTCTATCTGTAAGGCGCTATCGTTAATGTATGTATGTTACATTTTGCTTCCTTAATAAAAACAAAAACAATACTTTTTAATTTTAAACTTTATCGACTTTTTCACACACACACATATAGCAAGTGTACTACTCACTTTTTAATTGTAAACGCTTCCCACAATGTGGCATCCATTCTTGATGGGCTTTACAAAGTCAGTATCACTGGCGCATTTGCAATCCGCACATTGTCGTACAGTAAGTAATACTTACAATAATAAGGCGTTGCTGCTGCACTGTTTCTTACAATTTTTTAACAAATATTTACAAAAGTGTTTTATTCGAAAGTCTATGTTTAAACACGTGTTTTCATATTTTTGTGTAAATATATATTTTCTTTCTACATAACTACATTTTAACGCCATCATTTCTTTTCCGCGTGCATAACTGTCTTTATTGAGTTTTATTTCTACAAAAATATATGTATATATCTGTACATATATGCATTTATATATTCTTATGTACATATGCGTTTGTGTATTTAGTTGTGATCCATTTTATAAAACTTGCATATCTGTTCTATATTTTTCTACTAATGTCCCAACATTTTAGTTGCTCTCCTCCTTGGTTTGGTAAATAATTACACACATTCGTTGAAAACTGCGCTGTGTCCTAAATAACATAAATTACTCCAACTGACTGTAGTAGACTCAGCTGTGGCATAGTATTGTATCTTTAAATTAATGGYTTTTTAAATAACTATTTTCACCATTTCATTTACTGAACCAATTTCAACAAAACCGGAAACAAATTGTGTCAAAAATTGAAAGGCTTAAACATTTCTGAGAAACACTTTTATTAAGAAAACTATTCAAAGTTTTAGATATATACATATATTTGAGAAAAGGGCATTTAAATTGTGTTAAATTTACTAAAAGTTTATTATTTGCTTGAAAAAATACACAAAAAATTATTAAACTAGGCATTAATATATAATGCATGAACAGTTTTTTTTGCATCATTTCAATTTATTTCTAAAATTATGCATTTCTCTACTTTCAGCCCTTCATACTTCACGCTTTTACCAAGCTTTCGGCACCAATGGACCCATTTACATGGACACCAAACTATTTAGTATACAAAATGTTTCATTTAAGCTTATTTGGAATAGCTGTTATATAAAATTTTTTCTCAAATAAAATACAATAAAATTTAAGAAAATTTTGTAATAAATAATTTTATTTTATGTAATATTAATTAGTTTAAAGTCTTTTCACAAATAAAATACAATAAAATTAAAAAGCAAAATAAATCAGTGAATTCTGTTACTTCGCATTGGCACAAGTAGTAAGTAGTTCTGTAAGTATCATGTCCCTATAGCAACATTATGCTACTTTACCGGCTCTGTTGATTACAGCGCCTCTGTGTGAATTCCGTTGCATACCCCAGAGGCGCTACGTTTCGCCATGTAACAGCGACACTGTCTTACCGACTCTGTTGATTACAGCCCTTCCGCGCGAAAATCGTTGCATACCMWAGAGGCGCACTGTTTTGCCGGCAACAGTTTGGCGGCCACTGTAGCTGCAAAATATCGCCCACCTACTGTGCTGTTCTGGGCGCCTAGTACAATTTGCCAAATTCAGGAAAAGCATTTCTGTCGATTCACGGCGTCGCTGCCGGCGTTGCGCAGCAGCGGGTTCAATATTTAAAATGCTTATAAAAAGCGWAGGAATTGCCCGATTTTAACCAAATTTGGTGGACTCTTTTAGAAAATTATTTAGAAAAAAATG